AATGGACTAAAGCGACAGATGTCTTAAGTTGCTACAACAACCAGTTTTGAGGACGACGTAGCTATGGGTTCCTAGCTCAGTTTAGCGATATCCAGTCCAGGCACTCGAGTAAGGCAACAACTGGCGATAAATGCAGGTCTTAATAGTTAAATGTTTGATTTTTATCACGGATACAATTCATAACTTATCAGTTTTTAATGTCTTTTATCTCGTTTTCAGTTCTCGACGTTCGTCTACAATGGATAATCTATATCAACTCGGCCTCAGGTCTCAGACCATAGTTGGTGCATGTCATTTCTTGTTCTTTTTGTTCTCCTGGCCATTTGTAATTGGTTTCCTGAAGGACTACCATGACAAGGACAGGCTGACATTTAACTGTATCCCCAAACCTAACGACTTCACTAGACAACGTTGTTATGACAACTACACTTCTGCTGTGAGTCCAGGTTTAACTCCATTGGATTTTGCTGGTATGAACTATGGTGCGCTAGGATTTCTCTGGTTGTTTTTTATACTTATGGGTGCCATGACTCTACGACGGATTCACAGAGAGCGAAGTGAACAAGGGAAAACAAACCAGTGGAAAACGTTCATGAGGAGATTCGTTTATCACGTTTGCGCTCAGCTTGTTGTTCTCAGTGTCATGATGGGGCTGTTCTGTGCCTACCAGACCATCCACTTTCCTTCAGAGTACAAATGCTATCAGAAAAACATGACGCTCACTTCATTCAACCAAAGGCCGGTTAATATGACATGCAATGACTTACGATACAAAGAGAAATCAAAACTAAACATTGCTATCATTGTCATTATGGCAATTTCTATTGTGTTCTGTTTATTGACCCTTATTCACTTAGGAGTAACAAGACGAACAGGCCAGCCATTGTCAGAACATCTCGTGGGAGACATTTTTGAAAGGGAAGATGGAAATGCGGAAAGGGTTACTTTAAGAGGTGAGGACATTTAGATAAGTTGGGAAAATGAACCAGTTTCAGCGAACTTTAATTCGATATTGCAAGGAAAGACGTAAATGAGTTACATTGCTCTTTTTCAGTTTATTTCTGGGGTATTGTGGGGACGACGTAGGGGGATAGGTTCGGTTTTCAAGAATTAGATACCAAATATGGATAAATTTTTTTTTTTAATTGGCCTCTATAAAAGCGATTAGGACGATTAGCCCGTGCACAGCCGCCCCTCCCCTCAAACAAAATCAAGAAGGGGGCTGCTGTACATTGGCTGTAAGGGGAGCAAAGTTTGTCTGCAGTTTGTTTAACGAAGTAAGTAATTGATGCACTCCCTTGGCTTTTTCATACTGCACAGTTTAGGCCACGTATCTACAAAACTAGCCTGAATTTCATCCGATTACTTCGTGTCGTTATTACTCCCTTAGTAACGTCTGAATCGACCGGCCGTTAAATGCTGTTCAGTCACGTCACTACTCCTCTGCTTTAATTCATGCAAAAAGTTTAGAAACAAGTGAAAAACCAAAAAATATCGTTTGGAAATGTCTGCATCATGCATGATACAGGCGTGATCCATAATCAAACTCGGTCGCAATCACGCAATGAAATAAATACACACACGGAACACTTAGTTCAAAAACACAACGATTTGCTTTCATTGAAAAGAAGCTATTTGGTCCGTAACGGAGAAAAAAAAAACAAGGAAACAAACCAGTGGAAAACGTTCATGCGGAGATTCGTTTATCACGTTTGCGCTCAGCTTGTTGTTCTCAGTGTCATGATGGGGCTGTTCTGTGCCTACCAGACCATCCACTTTCCTTCAGAGTACAAATGCTATCAGAAAAACATGACGCTCACTTCATTCAACCAAAGGCCGGTTAATATGACATGCAATGACTTACGATACAAAGAGAAATCAAAACTAAACATTGCTATCATTGTCATTATGGCAATTTCTATTGTGTTCTGTTTATTGACCCTTATTCACTTAGGAGTAACAAGACGAACAGGCCAGCCATTGTCAGAACATCTCGTGGGAGACATTTTTGAAAGGGAAGATGGAAATGCGGAAAGGGTTACTTTAAGAGGTGAGGACATTTAGATAAGTTGGGAAAATGAACCAGTTTCAGCGAACTTTAATTCGATATTGCAAGGAAAGACGTAAATGAGTTACATTGCTCTTTTTCAGTTTATTTCTGGGGTATTGTAGGGACGACGTAGGGGGATAGGTTCGGTTTTCAAGAATTAGATACCAAAGATGGATAAATTTTTTTTTAATTGGCCTCTATAAAAGCGATTAGGACGATTAGCCCGTGCACAGCCGCCCCCTCCCCTCAAACAAAATCAAGAAGGGGGCTGCTGTACATTGGCTGTAAGGGAAGCAAAGTTTGTCTGCAGTTTGTTTAACGAAGTAAGTAATTGATGCACTTCCTTGGCTTTTTCATACTTCACAGTTTAGGCCACGTATCTACAAAACTAGCCTGAATTTGATCCGATTACTTCGTGTCGTTATTACTCCCTTAGTAACGTCTGAATCGACCGGCCGTTAAATGCTGTTCAGTCACGTCACTACTCCTCTGCTTTAATTCATGCAAAAAGTTTAGAAACAAGTGAAAAACCAAAAAATATCGTTTGGAAATGTCTGCATCATGCATGATACAGGCGTGATCCATAATCAAACTCGGTCGCAATCACGCAATGAAATAAATACACACACGGAACACTTAGTTCAAAAACACAACGATTTGCTTTCATTGAAAAGAAGCTATTTGGTCCGTAACGGAGAAAAAAGAAAACAAGGAAACAAACCAGTGGAAAACGTTCATGAGGAGATTCGTTTATCACGTTTGCGCTCAGCTTGTTGTTCTCAGTGTCATGATGGGGCTGTTCTGTGCCTACCAGACCATCCACTTTCCTTCAGAGTACAAATGCTATCAGAAAAACATGACGCTCACTTCATTCAACCAAAGGCCGGTTAATATGACATGCAATGACTTACGATACAAAGAGAAATCAAAACTAAACATTGCTATCATTGTCATTATGGCAATTTCTATTGTGTTCTGTTTATTGACCCTTATTCACTTAGGAGTAACAAGACGAACAGGCCAGCCATTGTCAGAACATCTCGTGGGAGACATTTTTGAAAGGGAAGATGGAAATGCGGAAAGGGTTACTTTAAGAGGTGAGGACATTTAGATAAGTTGGGAAAATGAACCAGTTTCAGCGAACTTTAATTCGATATTGCAAGGAAAGACGTAAATGAGTTACATTGCTCTTTTTCAGTTTATTTCTGGGGTATTGTGGGGACGACGTAGGGGGATAGGTTCGGTTTTCAAGAATTAGATACCAAATATGGATAATTTTTTTTTTAATTGGCCTCTATAAAAGCGATTAGGACGATTAGCCCGTGCACAGCCGCCCCCTCCCCTCAAACAAAATCAAGAAGGGGGCTGCTGTACATTGGCTGTAAGGGGAGCAAAGTTTGTCTGCAGTTTGTTTAACGAAGTGAGTAATTGATGCACTCCCTTGGCTTTTTCATACTTCACAGTTTAGGCCACGTATCTACAAAACTAGCCTGAATTTGATCCGATTACTTCGTGTCGTTATTACTCCCTTAGTAACGTCTGAATCGACCGGCCGTTAAATGCTGTTCAGTCACGTCACTACTCCTCTGCTTTAATTCATGCAAAAAGTTTAGAAACAAGTGAAAAACCAAAAAATATCGTTTGGAAATGTCTGCATCATGCATGATACAGGCGTGATCCATAATCAAACTCGGTCGCAATCACGCAATGAAATAAATACACACACGGAACACTTAGTTCAAAAACACAACGATTTGCTTTCATTGAAAAGAAGCTATTTGGTCCGTAACGGAGAAAAAAGAAAACAAGGAAACAAGAAAGAAAAGCTAACAGAATTATTACACTTGACGCGGGGGGGAGGGGGTGAAAATTAATGGCTAGAAGAGGAATCTAAATATTTGTATAATACAGTGGCGGATCCAGACCTTCAAGGGGAGGGGGGGGTCATCTAGACCCTGGGATAAGGAGGGGGCCGGGTCTCAAAAAGAAATTATTTTCGGGCCATCGGGCCTCATTTTAGTCTAAAAATAAGGAGGGGGCGGGCCCCCCGTGCCACTCCCTTAGATCCGCCACTGATATTTAACAATTATTCTTTGAAATCGAGGTGAATAGTGGCAAAATATTCCCAAAGCCACTATTCACCGAGATTGAGAAGAACAAGACGCCTAAAGTCGTTTCCGCGGGATGCGTTGGTCTGTGGACGCATAATGGCGTTCTATCTGAATTTGGAACTGAATTAGGGAAACCGGAAAGATGTGTCATGTTATGAGCATCGATGAGTAGGTTACCTGTATGGGTTGGTTTAATGTGCTTATGACTGAATTTATAGTAGCCTGCGTGACAGGCCACTATTTCTCCCCAATCCACATCCCTTCCCTATCCCCTACCCCTTTCGACACCTGCTACGCAAGCTAAATTTATAGTTGTCAGTGGTCGCAAGGATGGAGTTGATCTTGTTTTGATCTATCGCTATGTAGTTATTTTCATAGCACGATTTGGATAAGAAAAATAAGTTATTTTGCATCAAAACGAAGTTTACCTGTGTAACTTAAATTGGAATGTTGAGGGAAACAAGTAATGGAGAACATGCGCATAATGCTCTCTGATTAACCTGAACAGGAACTATATGTATAAAGATACGTCATATCTTGGTAGTAAGGAGCCACAGGTAACTTTTTCAAAGAGAAATAAACATTGTAGTTTTAGGTTAATGGCACAAAACAAAACAAAACATCCGCTTGCTTTATCCAGGGTCGAACCCACGGTTTCAAAGTTCGATAAAGTTCCAATGTTTTAATCCAAGATGAAAGTTTAATATTCCAAGATGCTCTTGATACGGTTAAAAATTAATTGCAATGTGTTTCCAAGGTCTCAAAGTTAACATTGCAATGATTATCCCTGATTCCAAGGTATAATAAGTTTACTAAGGTCCTGATCCGTGTCCCATCCAGAAGTCCAATCCATGCCGAAAGCTAGTCGTCGATCGACGAGGACAATATTTTCGCGATTTCACCGTCAATCGTCAAGGGTACGAGTTGAAATTTACGCGATTTAACCTCCCATCGTCAAGGTGTTTTCCATAAGAAAAGAAAAAAACTGAACTTGAGCTGTGCTCGGCAAAAACTGGCGAACTCCGAATAGAAAAATCTATCGGAAATCACGGCCCGCAACCGAACGCTGCTAAAACCTTATGAAAAGGTTAGACCTAAACAAAAAAGAATCATGAAGGAAAGAAATAATTTGGCTTAAGTCGCCTTTCGTGACTTGTCAGTATCCCGAAGGATTTCGCTGGTTAACAAGCCATCCTAAACCACGAGTGGGAAAACTCAAGCGCGACAAGTTTGGCAAGGAAAGTTCTGATTTCAACGTTCTTCAGAGGAAGCAAATCGATTAAAAATCGATACAGATTTTGTACAATCTGATTGGTCGGCTTGGAAGAAGAGATAATCGATAAAGATTTTAGGCAATCCTATTGGCTGGCTTTGCAATTTTGGGTACAACCGAACCGGATTTTTACCGTGGGAGTGCCACAGGCATCCCACGGAATAATTGTTTTAGTATATACGAAGTGATCTCAACAAAATCAGAAAGGAAACCATTCAAAAGTAGGATTTGATTGACAGATCAAATCACGCGTAAGTTTAAAAATAGATCTTTGCAGAATTTTCAAACATGGCAATTCACAAGTTTACTCATTTCGCAAACAACAGCGTAATGGCTTCAATGGAATCGCTAAAAGTTTGAACTGTTTCCTTACCTGAGAAAAAAAGTAGAGCTGTGTTGTTTTCTGTTGACTCGCCAAGTTTATAGCCAAAAGGGCATGTTGTGTCGTTCTTCGCATGAAGTGCTGACAAAAATGGCAGCTCGGTTGCTCGAGGTAAGAGGTCGTCTTCCTGTATCATTCTTTTTCCTGTTTACTTGAAATGTAGAATTTCTGCAAACATTTCCTTTTAAATTTGTTTGTCATAAATAAACTTCGATTTTTGAGCCAAAATTTTCTTCTTAGAAAACGCTGAGTTCACGAAACGGCTTCTTCTACGCGAATACACGGGAGTTGTAAACAATCCATCGAGCACAAAACTCCTGCTACAGTAAATTGAAAAACGCCGTATTGAATCCTTCCAAGTCTTTTCTTGCCTTGAAAAAAGTCAGCCCTAGGATTTTGTCGACTTTTAAAAGATCGTTCTCTAAAAAAAACGGGAAAAACACCGAGCTCACACATTATCCACTCGCTAGGAGGTGAATATTGTTGAATAGTCCGAGATAGCGAACCAATCAGATTGCTTAAATCACCAAGATCACTGAGTGTGTATATACTAAATATATTTAGTATATACACACTCAGTGATCTTGGTAATTCAAGCAATCTGATTGGTTAGCTATCTCGGACTATGACGTTATATTCACCGCGCTAGGCGGTGAATATAAAGCCGAACAAAATCGCTGTCGTGAACTGGATGTTTTGTCAAAGTTTCAAAGTAGAACCTTTTTGAAAATACACGAATATCCAAGTGCTGATGACTTTGAAGGCAAGAAAAGACTTCATGGTGTTTAAACAGCGTGATTTATTGTGAAGTGGTTTACTTTAGCTGACTTTTTGTACGCTCGAAGCTATGTTTACCACTACAGAGGAAAACGAGGTCGCTTTGTCACTGTTTTGTGATTTCGGGATTTTCTCGCGAGACCAATTTTGCCTATAAATGGGAGTTAATTTATGGAGAAGAGAGGAAGGCAAATATTTTCGAAAATTGTACGTGCCAGCAAGCTAACAAGGCAAAGAACTTTGGAGATAAACAACGCTCACCTTGATCGCAGCCGCTGTTGACAGCATTTGCAAGAAGCGACGAAGAAAACTTTCTCATTCACGGTGAGTTGACAGAAACAAATAAAGCTCTAGATACTTTTCTTCTCAGAATTGGGTAGTAATTTAAATTTTCGGCGTTTTCTTTTAAACCGTTGATGCTAAAGCTTACAAAACTCGATACAAAAGTATTAAAACTATCATTTGCCATGTTTGAAGATACTGTAAAGATCAAACTTTTGCGCATCCACTGTTTACGGCTTCGTGTTCACGCATGAATTTTCACCCGTCAATCAAACTAATCGTTTTTTAATGGTTTCCTTTCTGATTCTGTTGAGATGACTTCGTGTGAATATACTAAAACACTTATTCACCTCAGGCTCAGTTAATATTGTTGAATAATCCCCGAGACGAATATTCAACAATATTAACTGAGCCTTCGGCGAATAATTGTTAAATATCAAGGGCCTCGTGTTCTTTTGGTTCCTAGGCCAGGGTTGTTCTTTCATCGACTACTTCAACGTTTTCCAATATGGTGCTTTTTTAACTTGCTGCTTTTTATCTTTTTCTCAGCGGTGAATAGCTATTCGGTGGCAATGAAAGCGTCAGCCAAGGAACAAACGGAATTTCAGCGCAAACTGTTTGATCAGGCACCCTCTATTTCTTGCATGAGAACGGATGACATATTCACTAATCTTCTTATTCAACATGGACGAAAGGCCGTTGAAGATGACGAGAATGTTGACAGAAGTGATCGCTTAACTCGTTACGGTCAAGTAAGCGGCAGACGAATCGAGCAATGTAGTGAAATATTTATTCGCTCTACAAACGATGATGGTAATCCTAAATCTATTCTTGTCACTGGAAAAGCGGGGATTGGGAAAACTCTCTTTTGCCAAAAGCTGCTTCGAGACTGGGCTGATAACAGATTATTTCAGACACAAACGGATCTGCAATTGCCCGATTTTAAGTTTGCGTATTTGTTAACATTCAGGAACTTGAATTTACTTGTTGACGAGGAATTGACTTTGAAAGAAATTTTAGAGCGCTGTTCCTTTTTGGACGACCAATGCCTACGCACGTTTCCTTTGGAATATATCCTCGATCATTCCGAGGAGGTCTTGATTATTATTGACGGTTTTGACGAGTATTCTAAGCAAGGACAAGATTATATTGCCGGTGACTGCCATGAAGAATATCCGAATTGCTCTGAACGGAAAATGAAGGTCGCCGCACTTTGTGCCAAACTAATTAGAAAGAAAATCTTAAAACAGGCAACTATCATGATCACGTCAAGATCTGATGAATCTGACAAGCTCAGTAAAATTGAATTTGATCGAATTGCAGAAGTTACAGGATTTTCTGAACAACAGGTGACAGAATATATCGAAAGGTACTTCCGACAAAACGAAAGCTTCAAAAGAACTGTACTCGAACACATCACGAAGAACGAGAATCTTGTCAGTTTTGCTCACATCCCTGTACTTTGCGCCCTTATGTGTTCTTACTTCGAATACATTCTTAAGAAATCAACAAGACTCGAAGATCTTCCTGTTTCAGTTAGAAAGCTGTATGATGAGGTGCTAAATATTTTTACAACAAATCACATCGAAAAGAAAATTCCCAACTTCATCCGCAGAGAAAGCACACTAGATGTACTCTCAAAGTTTGCGGCTGATTCACTTTTAAAGGGAATGTATCTTTTCGAGGAAGAGGAAATGAAGAGGCTGACTTCAGAAGAAATTGTTGAAAAGTTGAGAATATGCGGTCTTCTTCATTGCGGTCCTCCTTTTAATGTGTCCTTTTCTGAAAAAACAAAATATTTTTGTTTTAGTCACCTAACTCTTCACGAGTATCTAGCGGCACGTTGGTTTGTCAAAGAAAAGACGATTCCCTTCTATGGAAAAGTGTCCACTATGGTATATCAGTTCATAGCTGGCATTCTCTCAAAGAGGGAAGATAGCGTCCTCATGGATGAATTGATGAAGAAAATTACATTTCCTGCCAGTAGAAGGTATCTGTTAGAAGCAAAGTGCCTCAATGAATATCAAAACGAAGAGTATGCCAAAAAACACTTGAGCAATGCTGGTTATAAAGAGATAAAGTTATCTTGCTGGAATGGTGTGGACATTACTGACTTCTTATTTTTGCTTGACATCTTTAGTTCACTTAATGAAGACGAAACGTCTCAGTCAAACCAACAACAACCATCTGAACCATCCAACTGTCTTCGGGGTCTTAACGTCTACTGGTCAGTGCTGACACCCTTAAGAGTAGGACGGATTTGCCGCTTTTTACAGTTACACGCCACTGGCTTCTCCGGCGATCTGGGACTGACGCATTGTGGTCTAAACGACGACCTCATACAATGCATTTGCGGAATGGTGTTTACTAAACCATTCACTCTTTGTCTGGGTGGTAATCAGATCACCGATGCTGGTGCTTCTAGTCTAAGTAAAGCTCTCAAACAATCAACCATGCCATTAACTTCACTAAAGTTGGGTGGTAATCAGATCACCGATGTTGGTGCTGCTAGTCTGAGTGAAGCATTAAAACAATCAACCTCTCAAATAACTATACTAAGTCTTTGTGGTAATCAAATCACCAATACTGGTGCTGCCAATCTGGGTGAAGCACTAAAAGAATCAACCTGTCAACTAACCACACTAGATCTGGGTAATAATCAGATCAGCGATGCTGGTGCTGCTAGTCTGAGTGAAGCACTAAAAGAATCAACCTGTCAACTAACTAAGCTAAATCTGGGTAATAATCAGATCACTGATGCTGGTGTTGCTAGTCTGAGTGAAGCACTAAAACAATCAACCTGTCAACTAACCACACTAGATCTGGGTAATAATCAGATCAGCGATGCTGGTGCTGCTAGTCTGAGTGAAGCACTAAAAGAATCAACCTGTCAACTAACCACACTAGATCTGGGTAATAATCAGATCAGCGATGCTGGTGTTGCTAGTCTGAGTGAAGCACTAAAACAATCAACCTGTCACCTAATCGAACTAAATTTGACAGGAAATAAGATCACTGATGCTGGTGCAGCTAGTTTGAGTGAAGCACTAAAACAACCAACATGTCAACTAAAGTGCTTGGTTTGGCAAAAAATCGGATCACCGATGCGAGAGCTGCTAGTATAATTCAAGTACTAAAAGAATCAATTCGTCACGTACTCCTACTTAATCAGGATCCCAGTAATAGTCAGATCACCGATGAGGATGCTGGTGCCGGTCGTCGGGAAGTGTACTTGAACTTCTGACTTTAAGAAGCGGTTTAAATTTACTAGGACACTGCAGAAATCTTTTGTTTTCTTTCCTTATTATATGGGCGGCGCCCAAATAGAGTAATCGAGATCGCTTGTTTTAATTCAAAGTTGCAATATAGGCATGCCGTAGGTATATGGCGTTCCATTTCCGCCAAAATTCAATGTTCCATTTTACATTGTACTTTGCATAATCAATCCTACATTTTGTGTTTGTCATTTGAAGTTACACTCGCGATTCAACGTTTTTGCATTCAACATTCAACTTTGACTTATGCAACATTCAAGTTTTCGCTTTCGACATTCAACTTTCGACCGTCAAGTTTCAAATTCGATCTTCAAGTTCAGTGGAACGCACATTCATTTTTTCGCATCCAAAATTTAGCACTTGGCCTTTAAGTTTTCGCTTCCGAAATCCGACTTTGGGCATTGTACTTGCAAGTTTCGGCATTCGACATTCAACTTTTCGAATTGAATTTTTACCCGCTGGTCAGCGAGCGATGGAGACCCACCCCTGCTCAAATGGTGGTTGAGAGTCGGTCGAGAGACTTCCCAGTGGAGTGGACTCGGGAGACCTTCTCCACTCCCGACAAACTAGACGTTGACAGACGTGTTCTCGACCGTGTGATAAAAGCCGCCGATCGCCAAGATGCTGCTGCACTTGCTAGTTAAAGGGATGTGAGAGCCACTCTCTTGAGGGTAGCTGACCGTCTGCCTTCTATGTAAGAAACACCATCTCCGAGTAAGTATCGGGCAACCTTTGTCAAGTATATACCTCTTATTGGCCGAGTTTTCGGTCCGTACTGTAAATTGCGGACCAAGTTTTTTTCCATCGATTTATGGCCCAAGCGCAAAGCGCGAGGGCCATAAATCGATGGAAAAAACGAGGATCCGTAATTTACAGTACGGACCGAAAAAACGAGGCTAATATGATGTTTATTATATGGCTTCTTCCTGTTTGGGGGACCGGAAACAAGTGCAGAACGCACGATTTGACAGTCGTTTGACGGGTGTCAAAAAAGAAAGTCAACATCCCAGTCCTCAGGGTTTACATACATATTTCAAAGTTTATTCGGTGGAAAATAAGAGCACTGTAAGTATTCACTCGTTAATGTGACGCTGGAGTCTTGAAAACTGACATTATTGTGTCTGGCTCGAATTCGCTTCTATCTTTCTTTCGTTGGTCTTAGAAAAAACACTGCAAATGGCAAAGAAGCTTGTCAAGATGATCGGGTGCGGGTATGTTTGTTATCATATTTGTTGAAGGAATTACTCATTTTCTCTTAGGCAAAACATCTCTGCCAGTCGATTTTCGTCTTCTTAACTGTGTACTGCGACAAATTTTCAAACACTGACTAGAATCCTCTTCGATAAGATTACGAGTTAGTTTCTTCATCGCCTACGTTCACAAATAAACACAGTTTAAAATGTTGAAGGACAAAGTCAAAATCTAAGCCCTCAAGGTTGATAGACGTCTTGTAACTTAATTTCAACCTTTTTTCCCGAGGGGAAGAGATTTAGAGTTCCGAAATGAGCATTTTCTTTGAAATTTTGGTCCGTATAGCAAGTTACGGACCGCAAATTGACCAATCGCATGGCGAAAACAGCCATATAACAAGAAGACGTTATGTGTTCAATGAAGTTCGTGTTCGCGCGGACACAAACATACATGTACGCATAATGCTCAGTCCGTTCCAAGCGTTGCTATCCCGCCCCCCCTCCCAGGGTACATTTGTCGCGCATTTGTCATCTTGTCGGTCCCGGCGGTGGACAACTTGTCAGAAAACCTCTGCCCGGGGGTGGGGCATTTATCAATTCTTCTAGAAAAGGTTAACGTCGTTCCTTTTTCAAAACTTCACTTTAAAATATGAACATTCAGATAGCTTTAGCTATTTCTATAAATAACATTTTTAATACTGTCTTATGCTCCATCACTTCCCTACCCCACAGTATGTTTTGCATCTGCCCCGCCATTGTGATCAGTTCGCATATGGATGAAAAACAATCAATGTATCGTTTGAAGCGTTTAAAGGAAAGACACTTTCTTTGTGCCGTGAATGTTTCAGGCAGAAAGGCCTAGAAAACTCTGTGAGATATTTAAAAGTGAATATAAATTTTATGTATTGTAGGATCAATGCGACGATACGCTGACGAAACGGTTCCACCATGATGAGAAAATACTCATCTTAAGCTCGTCGGTTGTTTGTTTTCATTCACTGTATTAAGCATCTTCGAAAATAATAGAGGTCTTGTTGAAATTCTAGTTTATAGTTTTGTCTTTGTTATTTAAAATCAGATCAGTGTGATCTTTTTTTGCAATAAATATAATAATAACGAGCCGTAGGAGCGATTTGCGTAGGGTGCTTCACGCGCGAGTTTGATCAGATAATTACAGATTTCCCATAAATTTGCATTGGTATTTGCAGTTTATTTACTGGAAAATGAAATTTTGGTGTTGTCCCGGGTTTGGGGTATTGGACCCTATTTTAAAGCCCCACCGTGGGGCATTTACTTGCAGCTCTTCCAAAACAAAATGAGAAATACCCGACAAATGACGGGAGGGATGGACATGCTTAGAATTGACTGAGCCATAAATAGCGCCAACTTGATGTTGATCACTTCACGCGCGCTGTGTACTGGATGGCATCGATCGTAGAATGAAATATTTCCGAAAGCTTTTGCTTGCGATACTTTTATCGTTGTGTATTTTACTCGTTTCTTTATTTCTTGAAAAGGAATGAATTTTGATTTGTTGTCCACCTGCAATCAAAAATCGGTCTGCATAAAACCCCACAGGCAGCCCAAGCTCTAGCCTCGGACGAAGACGTTAAGAGGATATTAAGGGGATTCGTCACATTTGTCAAGCATTCCTCCCGAATCCCCCTTAGGTCGACGTCTGCGTGGGAGGCTACCCAAGCCCTCGTCTGTAAGTGATTTCCGCAAAAAAAAAAACAGCACCGAAAAAAAATATCTCTTTTCAGGAGCCTATAGGCTCCTGCTCTTGTGGCATGTAATGCTGGATAAAAATATGTTACACCGTTATATGCTAGGGAAATATATTCTATCTCTACAGGTTTGGGAAACAAATTTTTACTCAGAGTCAATCACCCATATTTCCCCTCAAAAGACAAATGTTCGACCCCTAATGATTAATATGGGCGGTAAAAAGTTGCACAATCCTTGAAATGGCCGCGAACATAAAAGAATTGTATGGGAATTCAGGTTAAACATTTAAGAGATTTTTCATAAAATACAGCTTCCCACTTGGATAGGCTCGTTCAATAAGGCAGAGGAGGTTCTACTTTAAGTCCATGTTTTCTTTGTATTCTCAAACTAGTAAAGAGTCTTACAGTTTGCACAAAAGTTGTACGTGAATCGAGATCAGAACTAACACGAGCTGACAACCTAAAACCACGAGGTACATGAGAATGTGAACAAAACTGCGCATGGGCAGATATGCAAAGTATATGCTAATAGCTATGGTAATTCAAGCGTGTCTACCACTAAAGAAGACAGTCGGTTGGACAGTACTCACCTCCCTCGAAGACTGTGCAGCGGTATCCTGGCGATCGGCCATGTTCTATCTATTATCGACGTCTGGTTTGTCAAGAATGGAGAAGGTTTACCGAATCCACTCCACTGGGAAGTCTGTCGACCGACTCTCGACCACCATTTGAGCGGGGCTAGGTCAGGTCAATTGAGCCCCCGATCTCCATCGCTCGCTGACCAGCGGGTAAAAGTTCAATTCAAAAAGTTGAATGTCGAATGCAAAAACTTGCAAGTACAAAGCCCAAATGAGGAGGAATGACATTTCAAAATCATGTTACAGGAAACGTGCTCTGTTTTTTGGCTCACGATAATTCGCTTAGCCAGGTTATTTGTTTTTTCTGTTTCCATCCATTCGTAATTGTTTTATTTGTTGTTTGAGTTTTCGAAGAAAAATGAATATTTTTGAATCGTTGGTAGTATTAAACATTGAAAATCACACTGTGGAATTGACGGGTTTGGCTTATAGCCAAGAGTTTCACAATATTTTTGCCCTCAGTTGTCGAGAGCCAAAGGAGGTGTCACGCAATGACACAAAATTCCGTGATCGTACGTGAGATATGAGTGGCCACATAAAAAGTATTTCGGCAGTTTTGTAATTTCATTGGAGCTAATTGATGTCAGCCTATTAATCTTAACATTGAGTGGTGTATAATCTCATTGCATATGTTCGGAAAGGAGGTGATTTCTTAAAATCTTATTAAGCAAAGTGAACTCGTAAACAAATTACATTCTTTTACGTTCGAACCGTAAAAGGGGCAACGTCCAACATCTTCACGTGCAAACTGCGTGCGTGACAGTTATTTTTAAAACCCTTGGTTTATTATTTGGGCGTGGCCCAAATAGAGTAATGGAAACGGCTTGTTTTGACGCAAATGTGAAATAGGCACGCAATACGTAACGTAAACAAGGCAAGTAAACAAGTACACTGCACTTCATCGCACTTTTACGATTCCAAAAGTTAATCTGAATCTTCAGTATTTTTGCCTCATCGCAATTTGGAAGTCTGAAGTCCAGGGATGAAATCTATCAAAAATATTTGGAATATCAACGTCAGGTTTTGGTCACAATAAGATCACAAGCAACGAAACTTGAAACACAGAAACTCACAAAATGGATCGAAATCCACCAATCACAAATCACAAACAATGACCTTTTGAACCCGTTGAAGAAAACGTTCGTTTCCTAAGAGGTCCGCTAAGATGATTGGCGTGAGACATTTTTTTGACGAGAGGATCGAAATGCATCAATCATAGAAAGACAGTTTTAATTGCGTGTTTCCTAAGAGGTCATCTGAATTTGCTGTTTTCTTTATTTTATGTTCATTTTCTT